ATCCCAGAGCTTTGGGAGGCCGAGGCAGGGGGATTGATTAAGCCCAGGAGTTCGAGACCAGACTGAGAAACATGGTGGAACCCCACCTCTACCAAAAAATACAAAAGGAACTAGTCAGACATGGTGGCATGTGCCTGTAGTCCCCATTACTTGAGGGGCTGAGGCAGCAGGATCATTTGAGCTGAGGAGGTTGAGGCTGCAGTAAGCTGAGGCTGCACCACTGCACTCCAGCCTGGGCCATGGAGCAAGACCCTGCCTCAGAAAAAAAACAAAAACAAAACCCAAAAAACAAACAAACAAAAAACTGTTAAAGATGACAGAACAAGTTTGCTAAACTGTGGCTGGCTAGTTAAGTGAAAGTTGTGTAGAGTGGTGGTTGGTTAAGACCTGAATGCTCTGATCTGGGGGTTTGCGGTTTGACCTGTGTCTTAGGCAAGTTTCTTCTACCTTCCTAGATGATTAAGAAAAAGCAGGTTTCCACAAATTATTTTTCCGCATTGCCTCTGCCTTTTATATTAAAGAGAATTATTATATTTTCCTTATGGAAGGCATAGTACAGAACGCCTAAAGATACATAAAGAAAAAAACTGTCATAGGATCGTAGTGAGAGCCCTTACCAATGGTGAGCAAGCATAGGTTAGAAAGTGTCTACACGTGGACAATGTAAAAGTCATTCAAAATAGGAGTGGGTGATTGTATGACCTGTCTTCCAAGATTCTTTCTAATTCACAGATTGTTAGAAATTGAATTGAGAAGAGTATCAAGAATGTCCTTATTGAATGAAGGTAGTCACTAAAGTATGTATTGAAGAATGAGTTTAGACCGTCAGACAAGATAAATGAACATTTTGTCAGATTTTCCAATGGGAAAGAATTTTAGGGTTCGTCTTATAACTTTTCTCTCATCCTCAATATTATAGTTAACAAAGTGTATGCTACTCGTAAGTCTAGTTTTCAGAAACATCCTTTATAGCTGTATTACAGATTAGCACTTAGATTGCCTAATATGGATTCTGAAAGTTGTATATAGAAGTGTATTATATTCTCAGTTATTCTGTGACCAATATCACAGTAATTTTTTGGGTAGTACATTGTGGGGTATCTGTGGCTTTACCTAGCTGTAAAATTGTGATGAGCAAAAAAAGTGCCAAACTTGGTTTCAAGCCCACATATATTAGAAATTGAGCTAAATGCTAGCTCCTTAACTACGTACAATCTGATCTTCAAGTGGAATTTGAAAAATACCATGGGATTTGGAAAGTCATTTTGTACTGACCTGGTGATGTGTCTGTTTTTAGTAGAATATCATGGGAATGTTCTGTCTTCTAAGAAGGTAGGCCTGAGACATTGTAAGAAACAGTATCGATTTAAAGAGGGTACCTTAGTTAAGTCAGGAGGTCTCTAACCATTTTCTGAATAGCGATTTTTCTTGTGTCTGAAATATGAAAACCAGTTACTGGGGTAGAGGGTCTTATCCAAGAACAGAAGAAAGATGTGTATACATGAGAGGCACGGATTCATACTCTGAACACTTCAGATAATATTTTGCAGTCCTCAGTAGCCTGTGATTTTTCGGTTAGAGATTTTGGCATTACAGCCTCGCACAAGGATTTAGTTGAACCCAAGCAAGATAAGCAGCTGTGAGTACCTTCATACAAGTTTATATCCCATTTCAAAAGTATTTAGCTGTATACATAAAATATTATTCCAACATTAAAAAAAAGTTAATGCTTTCTTCCTTGACTGTTGGACTCGTTGATGTCTGTGATGTTAGAGAGGTTAATGAAATTTCTAAAACTGTAGAACAGTGTCATTTTTGTCAGGTATCTGGTAAGTGCTCAGTCTAAAATATCTGGTACCATCTGATCATCTGATAGAGTACAAAGACTGAGGGTTTAAGGACTAAGTCAGTTATTCAAAGTGTTGTCCAAGAACTCCAAAGGCGCCTGAGACTTTCTCAGGGGTTTCGCAAGGTCCTCCTTCTTCCAATGATATGGGTGATACTGGATTTTGTATATATACTGCAGCCAGTACATGATGTAATAGAATGAATGTAGATCATATATGAGAATCCAGCTGTCTTTTATTAAATCAGAGATTTTCAAAAAAGCAGGAAAACAGTGCCACTTTTCTCACAACATGTTTTTTAAAAAATACATCATAGCTCTTTTAAAATAAAAAAAGGTAGTATGTTATTATTTTATTATGAATAGAATATTTTTAAGATTCTGTTTAAATTTTTAACACTGTAAATATAAAGAGATGTAGCCTACATACACATGCTTCTCAGTAATTTTCAAGAGTTTAAAGAGATTCTGAGACCAAAAAAGTTTTAAAAATACTGGAGTAAGGCAGTCCTAGAACTATTGAGTTATTGCCATTCCCATTTTCCACTATTAGTCTCTCTTTCTTGCCAACTTACATATGAAAACTCCTTAGCCAAAAATATTTGAGAGCAGGAGAGTCGAAATTTTACTTTTAAAAATGATATTTTCTTTTTGGTATATTTTTAAATTAAAAATAGATCCTTGGGACTTCAGGTTGAGATTTTAGCATATTGATGTTTCTTATAATTGAAATATAGTCAGGAAATACCAGAACATTCCCCTTTCTACATTCTTTTTTTCTTTCCTTTTGGGGGTGCTGTTTTTAATAGCTGAGTTTACTGGTCAGGAGAAGCACTGCAGACCCTGAACAAAATGGCAACCAGTAAGTTGACTTTTTTCCCAAAGATTTTTGGCAGATTTTGAGCTGTCTTTAAACACTGGAGACGGAATTAGTCCCTACTGTTTGAAGGTCTGAATTTATAATTCTTTTTCTGTCTTCTATTTATGAGCCTAAATTATTGTTTTAATTTTGTTCGCACAATGATAATCTGTTAATAGGTATTTGGGACGTGGGCTTTTGCTGGCTTTGTGACGTGGAAAATATGCCAGTGGTGATTGTTTCTTAGTTGTTTTTTTTTTAAATAGTAAAAGGAGTCTTGATTTTGAAGCTTGTTAACTGTTGACTTTTACTATTACTTTAGCTAAATTCTACAGATTAAAGTTATAGAGATGATAAATCTCTTAATCTTGCCATTCCTTTGCAGGTCTCTGTGTGTGTGTGTCTGTGTGCATGGCAGGCAGGGGCTGCTGTTAATAATTCTTTAGAATTTAAACTTAAATTGAGCCAATTAATTCAGGAAAAATTCTAATTAAACTGTTATTAAATGTGCACCTACTTGGCTCTGGCAGTGATGAACAAGATAGACTATAGATTTTGCTCCCATGGAGTTTACAGTCTAGTGACAGAGACAGATGTTCAAAAGCACACACAGGTATGAATACATAATTATTAATTAGGATGATTTGTATGAGTGAAACTTAAAGTGGTCTATAAGAATGAGCAGAGAGTATTTAAGGATTTAGACAGGCTTATAGAAAGTGGTAGCCTTTAGAGAAGCCATTGAGACTTACCGGATGAGTAGGAATTCAGTAGGTCGGGCCCTGAAAGAAGGGCCCAATCATAGGGAGCATCACGTAGAAATGTCCAGAGATAGGCAGAAAGTGGCTTGGTGGGGGTGATAATAATGGATAGTGGGGACTGAGGAACTGCAGAATGATGGTGAGAGCGAAGTGGGCAATGAAGTTAGGTAAGTAGAGGGCCTAGAGTGCCTTACCTCTGTTCTGACCCTTGCCTTCCTCTCTAGCCTTCTTGGGTGTTCTCCGACTTTTTGTAACTCTTCCAGACCCTTTGTGTCCTGGCCATTCTTGCGTTTTTTTGGTCCTGAGGTTTGCCTTAAGTCCTCAGGACACACCATGCTTGCTCTGGCCACAGGCACCTCAATAGAAGTGCCTTTTCCCTTAAGTATTACCCTATCTGTGTCCTTTGTTTACCCTCTCCCACCACATTCCCAAAACATTTACCCTTTTCCTAGGACCTGTACTCATCCTTCTGACTCCTGATTCCTTTTCAGATGTTACCTCCCCAGGGAACCTCTGCACCCTCCAGAAAGTCTCAAGTTGTTTTGTTTTGTTAACACGGTTATTTTAACTATGTTTCTTCCCAACTCTTAATTCAGTTTTTAATTATGCAATCTTTTGATGATTATTTGATTACCACCATAGACATATCTTGTAAGTGCCATGATAGCAAGGACCCTGTTTGTATTTGCCATTTTAGGCTTCTAATATGTAGCACATAGTAGGTTTTGAGTAGTTTTTGAATGCATTAATGCGTTAATGAAGGACTGGGAATTCAGATAAGACTGAGATAAGAAATAGTTTAGTTCAGCAATTTTCAATGGTTTGTGATGACATATCCCATAGAAAGTTTTTTGATGCACCCACAATATGTAAATTGGCTATACATTTTACATAAAATAAATAAGTACATATTATAAAACATTCATAAAATAGCAATTAAATAAGCATAAAATATTTAAGGTGTTGCCAATGGCAGTGGAATAATGTTACCATCAATGAAAGTCTAAAGCCACTCAGGATAATGTTTACTATCTATGACAGTAGTTGCAAATCCATTTTTCAAATGTTTTCAAATTTTGAATTTGGGGGCACTGTTTCTTGTCAGATTGAACTGAATATTACTACTTTTCTCTAGTAAAGTGGTTAAGGAAGAACCAGTAGAAATAAGTGATGTTAAGTTTACCGTTTTCTTACTCTTCTCTGGTGCTTGCATTAATAATATGTGCAATCTCTAGTTTCTTTAATGGTTTTAGAACACTTGCCATTTGGGAAGGCTCATTTCACTGTAAGTAGCCAATGTAACCTGTAATTCCACTTGAACGGACCTTCAAAACTACAAGTACGTGGTTGTACTCTATAAGCAAATCATGTCCACTCTAACGTTATGTAACTCGTAGTCTTTCTGTAAGATACCTCCTGTACTAGACTGTCATAGACAACTGAGATAGAGACCAGATTAAGTCTCAAGTTATTTTCTACTTTATTAGATTAAAACATTCTTATGAAAAAGCAGTTTAATAATTTCATTCCATAGCTCAATGAATGACCCTTGCTTGCTCCTTGGATGTGCGTACCTGTTTTGGAAATGAGTGGACCAGTGCTGAAGACTGCCCTAGACAGATGATTATGAGTCCATGCCGGGGGCTGAAACCACTGCTGAGGGAGAGGTTTTTCACCAAGGACTTACCTTTGAGCTGGAATCATGTATGACAGGAGGAGGCAATGGGGTTGGAGAGGGATGGAGGAGGGGGCTCAGGGCAGTTCAAGCAGAGGGGAACAAAAAGCATATTCATGTCCAAAGGTACAGAGATGTGTTGAAGGAGTCACATTCTGGTTTTGAGGGGCCAAGATGAAGGATTTGTATGTCCCCAAAAGGACTCACTTATAGGAAATATCTCTGTGAACATGGAAATAACAAAAACAACAACAGTAGTAGGATCTTGTTCAAGTTTCATATGCTTTTAAAAATAGAAAAGAAAGGTACATAAAAATCCCCTTTACTTCCTCCCTTACCTTGCTTTTAGGAAAGGGATTGACTGAAATATAATTATGGAACCAAAGATAAATAAATTTAAGTGAAGGGTGGTAAGATATGATGGAGGTATGGATGGTAAGCAGACTGCCAGCCCAAAAAATTGATTTTTTTAAAAATTTTAAAAATAATTAAAAACAAATAGAGATGGGGTCTCACCGTGTTGCCCAGGCTGGTCTCAAACTCCTGGGCTCAAGTGATCATCCCACCTCGGCCTCCGAAAGTGCTGGGATTACAACTGTGAGCCACTGCACCCAGCCTAAATAATTTGATTTTAAAGGTCAACACTCCAGACATGCTAGATAGCAATGGGCTTTCACTCTGGTTTAAAGCTGAAAGAGTACAAGTACACTAATCTATCATTAAAGAACTTTACCAGCTTTTTCTTTATTTTACCATCCAGAAAATTGCAGCTAACCAAACTCCCATCACATTCCTGATATTTCACATTATTCAAATGAAAAAGTTTTTAAAAAAATGTTTACATGATTTTAGTTGTTGTCTATCCTTGTTAAATTTGTTTAATGGAGAAATGCATTGCTTTGCCTTAGATGGGGTAAAAGTTTGTATTTTTTTGTTCTTTGTTTTTGCTTTAGGTCTGTATGTTGATGTAGGTTGCTCTACCTCCAGTCCTTTTAAAGGAGAAATGAGACTCTAGCATAGTAATTTGGCTTGAATTATTCAGTCGCTTAATCTTTAACATCGTGTTAAAATAGTCTATTCATGCTTCTCAGGGTTTTTAATTTAGTGCCAATTTTGCATTCAAATGGGGTAAGATAAAATTCAAACCTAAAATCTTTTGGAACGTGCCTCACTTTATAGCTGAAAATTTTTCGTTTCCTGATTGATTTCTTTGTAAGAGAGTAGACTCTGAGAAAGTACCCTTGAGTGACTGCCAGTTGGAAGTGAATATGACTAACTCTTTAAGGTGATATGTTTAGGTCCACATAAAAGGTGTATGTTTAAATGTAGTAATACATAAGGCAATATATCTGAGGATGATTAGTAAGAAGGGCCTTGAGTAGCAGTTTGAAGGTAGTATGCTTAATTTAATTTGTCTTCCTGCAGTTGGATGTTTATGCTTTACTTACATCTCTTCTTTTCCCTTTACAGTTGGACAATGGTAGATGGAGTAATGATTCTTCCTGTGCTTATCATAATTGCTCTCCCCTCCCCTAGTATGGAAGGTAAGTGACTCACATCTTTTTGGGTTAAGATAAGTATACTGTGATTTTTTTTTTTTGGCTTACTATAAACGACTTCTTAAGCCTATCAAAGTTAACACACTCTTTTTATAATAAATATTTGGTGATTATTGACTATTTTGAAGTGAAATTCTTATATACATTATATCTGAATATTTACATACACCTATTTTTAAAAAAATTCAACCTAATTTTCTACTTAAAATAAATATAGGACCAAGCATGGTGGCTCACGCCTATAATCCCAGCACTTTGGGAGGTTGAGGCAGGTGGATCACCTGAGGTCAGGAGTTCAAGATCAGCCTGGGCAACATGGTGAAACCCTGTCTCTACTAAAAATGCAAAAATTGCTGGGCGCGGTGGCGGACACCTGTAATCCCAGCTACTTGGGAGGCTGAGGCAGGAGAATTGCTTGAATCTGGGAGGTGGAAGTTGCAGTGAGCCAAGATCGTGCCATTGAACTCCAGCCTGGGCAACAGAGTGAGACTCTGTCTCAAAATAAATAAATAAATAATAAAGGAGAAATAAGAGAAAACTCTGTAATTAACAATAAAACATATATTTAAACAAATGCGAGGCTGGGTGCAGTGGCTCATGCCTATAATCCCAGCACTTTGGGAGGCCAATGCAGGTGGATCACTTGAGGTCAAGAGTTCGAGACCAACCTGGCCAACATGGTGAAACCCCATCTTTACTAAAGGTACAAAACTTAACTGAGTGTGGTGGTGTATACCTGTAATCCCAGATACTTGGGAGGCTGAGGTGGTAGGATTGCTTGAACCCAGGAGGCAGAGGTTGCAGTGAGCCGAAATCATATCACTGCACTACAGCCTGGGCAACAGAGCAAGACTCCACCTCAAACCCCCACCCCCCGTCCTCCTGAAAAAAAGCCCAAATGTGATATATTATAGTGTAGTTAGGCATGAGCCTACAAGAAGATATGATGAAGTAATACATGCTTGCACCTATATAGGTAATAATCTTCAACATCTTCGAAAATAGATTGGTACTGGTGTGTTATATTGGTGGCTTAGTTGTCATAAGTGGTCTCTTATCTTCAGTGATTGAATTTTCTGAATTGGTGAATAGATTTTGGTGGAATTAAAAAAAACCAGAACTGTTGGCCCTTGATTTATATATTAGTTATATTTTTGGAATATTTAGTATACATTAAGGCAGCGTGAGACATACATACTTTGTGTTTTTATGTATGACAGAGTTAGGTACTGGTTTCAGTTCTACAAAGATTATTCATGAAAATGAATGCTCAGTGGGATAGTTGATACTTGTGGGGCAAAGACTATGTCTTGGCCTATTTGGGATGTTATAACAAAAATGCCAGAAACTGGGTGGATCAAAAACTAAACATTTATTTCTCACAGTTCCGGAGGCTGGGAAGTCTAAGTTCAAGGTGCTGGCAGATTCAGTGTCTGGTTAGGGCTCCTTCCTCACAGAGGGCGCCTTGTCTGTGTTGTCTCATAGTGGAAGGGGCTAGCTAGCTCTCTGGGTTCTCTTTTATAACAGCACAAATCCCAATCATGAGGGGTCTGCCCTCATGATCTAATCACCTCAAAAGGCCCTATTTCCTAATGCCCTCACCTTGGGAGTTACGATAGTGGCATGAATTCTGGGGAGACACAAATATTCAGGCCATAGAAGGCTAATTCTTAGTTGTGTGGCATCACCCAGGCATTTCAGTGCCTTTGGCGTCTCTGACCCTTGCTTACTTACTGTCATTACTCACTTTCCCATCCCCTCATTTCCAAAAAGTTGCTCAGGGATGGTCCTGTCCTTGTTGAAAAGGACAAAATAGATAATCAAGAGAGAAAGATAGTAAAAGTTACTCATAATTCCCTTCGCTTACATGTAATTGCTTTTAACATGTTGGTATATATCTTTCTAGATACAGAAAGCCTAAACACTACTTTATTGTGCATTGAGCGCACCCACTTTATTTTACAAGTGTTCCTCCGTAAAGAGTGGTGCTTATTGTAGGAATCTCGGCCTTGTTATGGTCACATGGGACAGTAAGACTAACGCCCCTGTTACAGGCTCTTCGGAGTGTAGTGGTCTTCTTTATATAATTGATGAGTTTCCAAGGAGGCATATAATTTGACAAGTTAGTATAGCCAACAGTGTGAAAAAATCAGTACTTAAAATATTACGTCTATTTCATTATATATTAGGTTCATAATATTTGATCTGTTCCTATCTCCTTCCCATACTTAATGACATATATTATACTTCTCCATTGTCCTATATGGTAGCTGATAGTCACATACAGCATTTGAAATGTGGCTAATATGAGTGGAAATATGCTGTAAATGTAAGATACAAGCTGGAGTTTGAACACAATAAAAATTTGACCTGTTTTTTCCTACTGCTGTGATAAAACTTAGAATTACATTAGGTGGCTCACATTTTGTTTCTGTTGGCCAGTGCGGTTATAGACCATTTTAGATACCTAGTTTATATTCCACTCTGAGCAGTGGTGTTAAAGATATTCCCATAGTATGGCAGTTGTGTCAGTTAGTGCCAAGAAGGTATGGGAAAAGCATCCTGAGTGGCAATGTTGAAGGAATTAATATGAGGAAATGGGCTTATACTAAAGCTGGGAGGATTTGATGAGCTAACAGTGGTTTTCAATTGGGGGTAATTTTATCCCCCAGGGGATACTTGACAATTGCTGGAGACATTTCTAACAGTCAAGTTTCTAGGATATTTTTACCTCTTTTAAATTGGTAAATAATATGATTATTACTTAAAAATCTAAGGAATGTTGAGATTTAAGTCCCTCCAAATTTCACTCTCTTCCTTAGTTACCATATCAATTCTGTATGATATTTTTGTTGTTGCTATTTTGTTGTTGTTGTCGTGGTTTGAAACAGGGTCTCTTTCACCCAGGTTGGGGTGCAGTGGCATGATCTCAGCTCACTGCAACCTTCTCCCAGGCTCAAGTGATCCTCCCACATCAGCCTCCTGGGTAACTGCAACCACAGGCTTGTGCACCACAACTAGCTAATTGTTTTGTATTTTTGGTAGAGACGGAGTTTTGCTGTGTTGCCCAGGCTGGTCTCCAACTCCTGAGCTCAAGTGATCCACCCACCTTGGCCTCCCAAAGTGCTGAGATTATAGGCTTAAGCCATCTTGGCTGGCCATCAATTCTGTATGATATTTTGCCTTTTATTTTTATTTTATTTTATTTTATTTTTTTTGAGGCAGAGCCTCACTCTGTCACCAGGGCTGGAGTGCAGTGGCACGATTCTGGCTTACTGTGGTCTCAACCTCCTGGGCTTAAGCAGTCCTCTTGCCTCAGCCTCCCAGGGCACCATGCCTAGCTAGTTTTTGTATTTTTTGTAGAGCTGGGGTCTCACTGTGTTGCCCAGGCTGGTCTCCCAACTCCTGGGCTCAAGCAATCCGCCTACCTCTATCTCCCAGTGTGGTGGGATTACAGGCGTGAGCCACCGCACCCTGCCTCTGTGGTATGAGGCAGTTCAGATGATATCATGGGTAGACCTGCGATGTGGGCAAAGTATAAAAAAAGAGAGAGGAAGAGACAGAGAAGTGGAAATGTAGTGTGAGGAGAGAAGGAGAGGTGGAGAGAGAATGGGGAAAAGAGTGGGGCAGAAAAAGGACAGTTATGGAGCAATGCTAATAACCGTGCCATTGGTTGTTTTTTCCCCCTGCTTTCAGCTCTTAAGCTGTCCAAGAATCCAGCAAATAACCTCTTAATGCCACAATGAAGACATGTAAAACATGTAAAAGTTAGTTTAGGCTGAAGTGGAGATGGAAATAGATTGACACTTAAGGTTTTGCTATTTAATCTATCACCACCACTAGGATGTTTACAAGTATGGAAAAGAGCATATCATCCTTTAATTGCAATGGATTTTTTTTTTTAAATAGAATATCCAGTGAGTGCTATAGCCTAGCATACTCTAATCATAATAGCCGTTGCCTTAGTGCCATCTTTCTTCTGTGACTCAGCTCCCTATTGTGCGTTTGTGTGTGTGTGTGTGTGTGTGTGTGTGTGTGTGTGTTCTATGGAAGGCATTTTGTTTTTATATATTTAATAGGAAAATTTTAAAAACCAAAGAGAAACCCTATTTATAATACACTCTAGTATCCTCAACATTAGTTAAAAAGCAAATATTAAGTACAAATGCTTAACCAAAAGAGGTAAATAATGGGGCCGATAACAAAAATATGTAATATCTCTGTAGCTTGTCTACTGCTGAGTGAGCTTTAGACTACTAAGCTTAAAAGGAAATAGACCCATATTTGATGTTTATAGAACAGCTAAGGCATTTTATTAATTATGCTTTAATGAAGCTAGATTACATTCTTGGGACATAAATAAGAGTCATAGAGATTTTGTTCTAATACATTTTGTTGGGTAGTGTACTCTTCTTAGTTTATGAAAATAAAAAACCTTTTACCCCTTTGTCTCTCAAATGTCTCATAAATATCGATTAGAAATAGTGGTAATATTTCAAATATTAGTTCCAAACAGTGTTTTTTTTTTTTTTTTTTGGTAGAGTTTGAGTGTACTTCAGAGTATTTCTCAAGTTCTATGGAATCCTAAATGCTGTGGGCAATAAAAGATTTTTTCACCACTTATATTTGGAAAATGCTTTCCAATATAACGACCTGTTTGATGATTATAGGTAATATTTAATGCGTGCTTAATACGCACCAGATGTTGGGCTAGCTTTCATGCATAATTTCCTATAATCCTCACAAGTGCCCTCATAAGATACATTTTTTTGGATGTGCTTTTGGATTGGTTAAAGCTCTTGCTTAAGGTTACACAGCCAACAAAAGGCATCATATACTTTGACGAATGGTGTTCAAGAGCTCCAGTCATTATCAATCTTCTTCAAAATTTTGCATTTTTTTTGTGCCCTAAATTAGCTACATCCACATTCATATTATGTTTGGTGCATGTTAGAATCCAGCTCAATCCAGTCTGTTTGAGAGCG